GCCTCTGTTTGTCCTCTGGCTGTCGTGGCTCCCTGGGTGGTTTTAGGCTGGGTCTCCAGGCCGAGGAGGTTCTGGAGGTGGAGGGGAAAGGTTGGTGAGGTTCGGAGAAGAGGAGGCTCTGAGGGGCTCTTGGGGTTGTGTTTGTGCCTTGTTTGGCACCCAGTGAGGTGCCTGGGGGGTGTTTGTCAGGAAACAGGGTGGGGGGTGCTGTGCTCACAGTCCTGACACCCCAGAGCACATCAGGATTCAGGGACCTTCGTCCTGGAGCCGTGGGATGGTTTGGGTTGGAAAGGACCTCAAAGCCCACTCACTCCACCCCCCTGCCACGGGCAGGGTCACCTTCCACCAGCCCAGGCTGCTCCAAGCCCCCTCCAACCCGGCCTTGGACACTTCCAGGGATCCAGGGGCAGCCCCAGCTTTGCCATCTCCATCCTCAGAACTTGTCTTTGCCTTGTTGGGGGTCACCTTCAGCTCTCTGTGCTCGTTCCAGGGTCACCAGCAGCCCGGTCTGGGCTCCTCTTGGGCTTCCAGAGGGGCTGGGACACCCACAGGAACTTTGCCATCCCACCTCGGGGCACTCTGGGGGTTAAAGGAGGGAGAGCCGGTGCCCAAAGTGACTTTGGAGGGGGGGACTGGCCAAGGGAGAGCAGCCCCCAGAGTCTCGGGGTGCCAGGAGCCGGGGGGGGTTTGTTTGCTTGGCTCAGTTAATCCCGGATTGTGGTTCTTCCCGCGGCCCCCGGGCTGTCTCTGCTCCCCGAACCCCGCGGGAGAGGCTCCGGGGCGCCCGGTTATCGGGGAAACCTTCTCCTAAAGGTTTATTAACCTCTCCGAAAGGTTTATTAACCTCTCCGAAAGGTTTATTAACCTCTCCGAAAGGTTTATTTGTGAGAGGGCACCGAGTCCCGCCCGGGGCCGGGAGGGGGCGCGGGGCCGCCCGGGCTCGGAGCAGAAACTTTGAGTCACTCGCGGGGTGTTTTGGAGCGNGACTGGGGTGTCCCCATTCCCTATGGGACAGACTGGGGTGTCCCCCATTCCCTGTGGGATAGACTGGGGTGTCCCCATTCCCTATGGGACAGACTGGGGTGTCCCCCATTCCCTGTGGGACAGACTGGGGTGTCCCCATTCCCTATGGGACAGACTGGGGTGTCCCCATTCCCTGTGGGACAGACTGGGGTGTCCCCATTCCCTGTGGGACAGACTGGGGTGTCCCCCATTCCCTGTGGGACAGACTGGGGTGTCCCCCATTCCCTATGGGACAGAGTAGGGTGTCCCCCATTCCCTGTGGGACAGACTGGGGTGTCCCCCATTCCCTGTGGGACAGACTGGGGTGTCCCCATTCCCTGTGGGACAGAGTAGGGTGTCCCCATTCCCTGTGGGACAGACTGGGGTGTCCCCATTCCCTATGGGACAGAGTAGGGTGTCCCCATTCCCTGTGGGACAGGACTGGGATTTAAGGGCCAACCCCGTGGGATCTGCCCGGGTTTTGCCATTCCCGGGGCTCTCCCTGTGCTCTCTGGGATCACCCGACCCGGGATCAAATCCCCTCCCGTTCCTGCTGACTCATGTTTGGGGCCCCTGCCCCCGGGGCTGCTCCTTGGAGAGCCGGAATTCTCGGTTATTCCCTGGATTCTGAGGCAGGGAAACGCTCACTGGGGGGTTTTTCCCCCAAGAAACCTTTCCCGTGGTGTCACAGCTTCAGGAATTCTGGGAATGCTCCTTGAGAAGCTTTAATTTGGAGCTGGACTCCCCCATCCCTGGAATTTTATCCCGAGGCTGGATGTGATGGGAAAACTCAGGGAAACACGTGAACAACTCAGCCCTCTGCCCTGGGAAACCTTGTTCTCAAAAAAGCACATTTTGGGGATGGAAAAAAGCAAAATTTAGAGATGAAAAAAGTATAATGTGGAGATGAAAAAAGCACATTTTGGGGAAAGAAAAAAGCACATTTTGGGGGTGAAAAAAGCACGATTTAGGAATGAAAAAAGCACAATTTAGGGATGAAAAAAGTATATTGTAGGGATAAAAAAAAGCACATATTGGGGATAAAAAAAGCATATTTTGGGGGTAGAAAAAAAGCACATTTTTGGGATGAAAAAAAGCACAATTTAGGGATGGAAAAAGCACATTTTGGGGATAGGAAAAGGCATGTTTTGGGGAAAGAAAAAAGCACATTTTGGGGATAGAAAAAAGCACATTTTGGGGGATGAAGAAAGCACATTTTGGGGATGGAGAAAGCACATTTTGGGGGTAGAAAAAAGCACATTTTGGGGATGGAGAAAGCACATTTTGGGGGTGAAAAAAGCACATTTTGAGGGCAAACCTCCCCTGTGTTGCAGCGTGGACAACAGTGAGTACATGAGGAACGGGGATTTCCTGCCCACGAGGCTCCAGGCCCAGCAGGACGCCGTGAACATCGTGTGCCACTCCAAAACCAGGAGCAACCCCGAGAACAACGTGGGGCTCATCACCCTGGCCAAGTACGGGGGGCTGGGGGGGTCACTGGCACCTGGGGACACCAGGGGAG